TTGATCGCTGCAAACCTTTGACTATTTATTCCAGAGTTCTGACAGTTTCTTGTTGTTTTTTGATGCTTGTATGGAGGGACTAGAGTTTAGACCTATCTACTCCACCATTTTGCTAATATCACCCAATTAGTTTTACATATTCGTTTGCTCCCACTTTGTTAAAATTGCCTATTGTTTAGTTTTTCAGTCAATGAATGTATTTGGATTTTTCAAGTAGGCTATTATATCATAAATAACCTCTTTTTAGTTTTTATATCTTATTTTTTTCTCTTCTGTAATTATGCAGGCCAGCACTTACAAAGCAATGTTAAATAATATTAATCCTGAGGCCATCCTTGTTATACAAACTAACTTTCATGGGGTAATACATTAAGCATGATTCTGGTTTTTGAACTAAGATGTATACATTCTGTCATATTAAAGAAGCTGTATATTTCTTGAAATTTTGTCTAACTCTCTAACCTGGGGATTGATATTTTGCAGGGTTTTTTTTAGCCTGTTATGAGAATCTTCCTTTGCAAATGGGTTCTCTTCCTTTAGAGAAAATGTGCCAACATTCAGCAGTTTGACACAAAATGCATTATGAATCCATAGGTAATTTTTGTATTGGTTAGCAACGTCATTAAATTGGACTTATTAGAAGATAAAATAGTTAACCTAACAGTAGTGTTTTCTGACTGGGTCTCCAGAAGTGAGAAGGAAACTGGTCCTGCTCTAGGGGACAGGAAGGGCTATGCTATCAAAATCTGGGTTCTAGACTCAGACCACCTGGCAGGAAATACTGAGACCCAAGACCTAATAACAGTAACAACAGCTATTATTTAAAAATATTTGCTATGTGCCACCTGTTTAAGGTGTTGATGCTTTTGAGTTGTGGTGTTGGCAAAGAATGGTGAAAGTACCATGGACTGCTAAAAGAACTAACAAATCTGTCCTGGAAGAAGGGCAGCCAGAACGTTCCTTGAAGAGAGAATGGCCAGACTTTGTCTCACCTACTTTGGTCATGTTGTCAGAAGGGACTATTCTCTGGAAAAGGATATCATGCTTGGTAAGGTGGAGGATCAACAAAAGAGGGGAAGGCCCTCAACAAGATGGATTGATGGCTGCAGCAATGGGCTCAGGTATAGCAGGGATCGTGAGGCTGGCACAGGACCAGGCAGTGTTTCATTCTGTTGTACAAAGGGTCACTATCAGTCGGAGACAACTCGACGGCACATAACAAGAATACCATCACCTGTTTAAGAAATTACTTACTCCTCACAGCCATTCTATGGAGTGGGTGCTATTATTTTCACGCAGATGACAAAAGTGAGGCATAGAAATGTATCTTATGCACGACCAGTACACCCCCATGCCTGCACATTAAGATGCATGGGCCAGTTAGAAAACGCACAGAAGGCGAGAAATTCACCAGTTAACTACTTAATGCTCCCAGGAGGTGATAAAGCTGAGGTTTTAAACTCAGCAGCTTCTTAACCAGTGTATTCTAATCCTCCAGGAGAAGGACCCTGAGCACCTGAGCAAATATACAAGTGAAATCATGACTATGGCCTCCATTGTAAGCCACATCTATTCCTATAGGGGTAGGGGGAAAAAGACTGCCAGAACTGTGAGACTCCTACCCTAGCACCAAAGATGGTTAATTGGAGGCTGGATGATTGGTTCCAGTTCTAGCTTTTTTTTAAAAAAAAAAAAAAAAAAAAGTCCACACACTTCTTTTTGTTCCTTTGCTAGCTACTCTTGTTGTTATGTGCCATCGAGTCGGCCCTGACTCATAGCGACCCCACCTTGTGTTTCCAAGGCAGTATCACTACGGAAGTAGATTGCCCCATCTTCCTTCCGAGGAGTGGCTGGTGGGTTCAAACCCACCAGCCTTCTGGTTAGTCAAGTATGCTTCTATCTACCTTAAATATTGGAGAGCCTTAGGTAGTTGTCTTGTGCCTTCTTCATTCTCTGTCTACAGTCTCTCCCTAGGCAATCACATCTAGAACCTCATGATAATGATTTCCTAATGTTATGTCCTTGAGGCATGTCCTGGCCGCTTGACCTCATGCACACAGCCACCACTCCTGTCAGTGGAGGCATGGGTGTTGCTATGATGCTGAACAGGTTTCAGCGGAGCTTCCAGACTAAAACGGACTAAGAAAAAAATGCCTGGCTATCTACTTCCAAAAATCAGCCAATGCATACCCTATGGATTACAACAGTCCTATCTGCAATCAGTCATGGGGGTGGCACAGGACTGGACAGCATGGCTGCCATGAGTTAGGGGCTGACTCAACAGCAGCTATCAGTAATGCCTATCCTCAGTCCAGGCTTTTTCCCTGACCTCTGGACTGGTGAGTCTACCTCTCTCGACATCTTCACCTGGGTACTTCACAGGCATGTCAAATTTAACATATCTAAATAGAACTCTTCACTTCTGACTCTATATAAACCTGCTCCTTCCCTAAACTCTGCTCAGTAAATTTATTTTAAAAATATTTATGAAGTGTCTACTAGAGCACAAACAGGCAAAAATCTTTGTCTTGACAAAGCTTATATTCTACTGGTGGAGGACAAATAATACCTAGACAAAGTAAGTCAATGAAATGATATATTAGATAATATGAGTGCCAGAAGAAAAACCAAGCAGGGAAGCGGTAAGAATTATAGGGGTTGGAACTGAAATTATAGAAAGGGTGGTGCTGTAGTAAGTAAGAGGAGAAGATGAAGTCAGAGAGGTAATGGGAGCTAGATCATGAGCTTTTATTGCGAGGAAGATGGGTAACCACTGGAAGATTCCATTTTAATAAGAGTACCTTGGCTGCTGTGAAGAAATTAGAAAAGAATTTAAGGATGACAGCAGGGAGTCTGGTTAGGAAGTTCTTGCAACAGTCCAGGTGAGAGATGATAGATGATGGAAACTTGGACTAAGAGATTATGGAGGAGGTTGTGAGGTAGGCTCAGATTCTGGATCAATTATTAAGGGTGCTCTACCATTCACTCGATCTCAAGCAAAAAAATTTTAGGTCTCATCTTTTATGCCTCCCTTCCCTTCACATCCCACATCCAATTCATCAGTAAACCCTTGTGACTCTATCTCCAAAATATATCTCAAAGTCACTGTTTCTGTCCATCTTCACAGCCCCTACAACCCAGCTAAACTGCCATTACTTCTGGCCTGGACTGTAGCAATAGCATCTTACCTGATCTCCCTGCTTCCTCTTTTGCCCCCTACAATCCTTTTTCCACAAGCAGCCAGAGTGATCATTAAATAACAATAATAATCCTACCAAGTCCTGGATTGGAATCCTTTAAGAGCTTTCAAATACACTACAAATAAAGATTTAAAATCCATACCATGAACTACAAAGGCCACTGTGATCGGCTCCTAATGACCCGTTTTCATTTCCTTCCCTTTCTTTTTCCCCACTCACTTGGCTCCAGCCACACTGGGCTCCTGTTCTTCAACTCACTAAACTCTTTCTCACCTCAGAGCCATGCTGTTACTTCTGCCCAGGTTATCATAACACATTTTTTGGCATAACTGGTCCCTTATCAACTGTCAAATCTCAGCCAACTGTCACCTCAGGGAAGAATTTGTTGACAACCTCCTTGATCTAGTATACATAGTCCACCACATGGTGTCTCAGAAAGCTCACTGTCTCTCATGGGAGGCAAAGTAAGTGCATACATTTTAAGCATGATCACAGGACAGTAAATAAGATGGGGACTCTTGAAGCTGAGGGCTATCATACACTGTCAGGGCCAGAGGCCAGTCTCCTGTGTGACACTGGAATGCCCTGGCAACATCCAGGTGATGTATGCTTGATATCTGTATTGAAGGGGCCCACCCTAGCTACTGAACAGCTCTGGCACTAGAGTTTCCTTATTCTGAGCAAGAATCTGTTTCTCTGAAGCTGTTATACCCCTGTGCACCTCCCAGGCAACATAAACAGAACTCCTCTTTGACAGAACAATTTTTCTGGTTTACCAGAAAAGCTTTACAGCCAGTCTCCAATCCCCACGTTCCCTTCGGAGCACTTTCCTCTCAAAGGGCTTCTACTGGGTCCTCCCTCTTTACCTCCTTTCCTCTCAAAGGGCTTCCACTGGGTCCTCCGGCACCAAGGGCAGCCCACCCAGTAGTCCAGGTCAGGCCGATCGGATCAGCTGGGCACCGGCTCCTTCCACCTCCCCTTCTCTACTTCTAGGAATGCAACTCTCCATCTGCCCCTTCAGCAGCAACTTCCCTGCCCCTTCTGAATGTCGCATCTCCCCAGCTAGAGCAAACTCAACATTATCTCCGTTTTGTGCCTAGCTTCAAGTCCTGACACAGAGCGGTTTATCTAAAACCAGTCACAGAATTTTAAAAATACATTATTTGTCCTGGCGAACTCATAAAGACTCCTATTTCAAAAACCAAACGCAATCCACTACCATCAAGTCCATTTCGACTCAGCGACCCTACAGGACACAGAAAAACTGCTCCATAGGATTTCTAGGACTGCAAATCTTTTCGAAAGCAGTTTGCCTCATCCTTATCCCGCGGAGCGGGTGGTGGGTTTGAACCGCCGACCTTTTGGTTATCACCGGAATGTTTTAATCACTGCGCCACCAAAACTCCTTCAGAGGCTCATACATCAGTGAATTCGGAATCCAAAACTCAGTCTGAGGCTCCGTCCCGCCCTCCAGTCGCGCCCCATTACCCAGCATCGCCTTAGCTCGCCCTGCCCTTGCAACGCTCTCTCCCCTCGGCTTCGCCCCGCAGCCCACTCCGCCCCTAGTCTCGCTTTTCCCTTTAGTCGTTCTCTGAAGCTGGGTGGCCTCTATGAAGCCTATAACCTTTGACATTTCCCTACATACTGTCCCAATTGGGAAAGTCTTTACTTTAGAGTATTAGCAAAATGGTGACGTCCTCACTACCCACCACGGCTACGCCTCCTTTACTCACAGTCCTGGGACGAACCGGAAGAGATTGTTCAGCCCCTTTTTAAAAAAAAAAAAAAAACCCTCATCACCCGGAAGTAGATGTGCCTCACGGAAGCCGGCTTTGGCCCTGCGGCATCTGCCGTCGCCGCGGAGAAATTGTTGGTGCCGGCAGCCTAGGAATGGTAAGACTTCGCGGTTCGTCTCTGAGGGTCTTGAGCGGAGTTAGGGGTGAAAGGAAGTTTCTCAGAGTGCCACTGGGGACAGCCCCCCCCCCCCAGGTTTGGGGCCCCGCCCCGGTAGCGCCCCGAAAACCTGCGCATGCGTGGGCCAGACTTGGCTAGAAGCTGGCTTGAGGTGTTACGCATGCGCAAATGTGAGAAGCCGTAGGTGGAGCGAGAAATGACCTGGGATTTGCGCCCTCACCCTCTAGCCGGTGGGGCTTAAACCAGGGCTTCGAAGGCATCAGGGTTCACTGCGTGCGCTGCTTCTGAGTTGTAGAGCTAACTTCATCACCATCCCTACAAATAGATCTGGATTTACACCCTTCTCCTTGGGTGTGCTCTCGAGGGAGAACGAGGGGTGGTGGGCCAGGCAAGGGAAATGGGCGCAGACCCTGCATCAGTCCCTCCGCGGGATCGTGCCCCTTCGCCCTTTCCCCGGTGTCAAGAGTCAGAGCTGTCGTATCCTATGAAGGACGAGCGCACCTGGGGGCAGGATCAGAAGCTGCAGCAAAGACCAAAAACTGCCCATATCAGATGGGGCGAGACCCTCACGTGGAACCCCCAAGAGAGCCGTGTAACTGAGTTCTCCCGGAGTTAGGAATGAGGGCCCCAGGGCTGTTGATATTCGCCTTTTTTTTTTTTTTTTTTTTAAGCTTTCATATGGTCCCACCCACTAAATCTTTAGCTAAAGCTGCAATTGGGGGCGGGGGAGAGGATACAGGTGGACAGATTGGAGTGCTGTCACCCTTTCCTTCTCCCAACTGTGGTCTGGGAGGGGAAGTGTGGTGCTTTTGAGCTGAGTGAACAGCTAAGGAAAAGTGAGCCAAGAATCCCTTGTTTCTTGCTGGTTTAAGTCAAGGCCCTTAATCTAGGGGTCATGGGTAAAATTAGAAGGGTCTATGAGCCCCCTAAAATGATAAATTGATAAAATGATAAAATGTGTACATTTTTCTGGAGTCCATAGCTATTATGGTGTTCTCAAAAATATCCGTGATTTTCAAAAGACTACTGGTGTGTAAGAGTCATACTGGCATAATAAAGCCTGTGTTGCTTTCCTCTCTCAGTGTCTTCCCTGGTTTATGGGACTGTGGGGAGCCTGTGCCAGTGTAAGGAAGTTAGACCGGAAACTTGAACCTCAGTGTGCCACATTTCTGCTTTGCAGACTCTCTTCTCAGCTTCTACGCTCACCTGGTCAGAATCCTTGGATGAGCCTGTGCGACCCTTCCTTCTAGCACTGTGGTTGGGAACCAGTGGCTTTGGGACTGTAAGAGGATGGACAAAGGTAGTATGATGCTGGGCCAGCTCCCCAAATGCTCAGGCACCAGCCATCTGCTGATTCTACCTCATGCCTGGCACACGTCTTTCGGTCCTGGCTGGGCTTTACCACCTCCCCCTGGGCCAGCACCACCCACATACCTCTCGGCAGAGGCCGCAATTGACTGAGTTGCTGTTGAGCTGCTGCTCTCTGACATGGCTGCATTTTGATGGCAGAGGGAGCAGTTATGCCCAGAGCCCGGTGTGTCACATCACCAGTCTGACCTGAGCACCATGTGCTGCACAACATGACACGTGGCACCAGGAGAACTGCCCAGCATGGAAGGTCTGGGCCAGGTCTGAGCCCAGATGGGATCTGGATGGTCGAGGAACTCCTACCTTAGAACTTCAAGTGTCAAAGAGGCAGCGGAGGGGCCCAGAGGGCTGGCAGGGGAAGGGGACCTGAGAACAGTCCTGTGTGCAGAAGCTCAAGGTCTGCTAGGCATTTAGGAGACCTGAGTTCACTGCTTCTCTTGTTCTAGATTCTCAGGGGCTGCTAGATTCATCCCTGATGGCATCAGGCACTGCCAGTCGCTCAGAGGATGAAGAGTCACTGGCAGGGCAGAAGCGGGCCTCCTCCCAGGCCTTGGGCACTATCCCTAAGCGGAGAAGTTCCTCCAGGTAGTAAGGTTTTGAGGGCCAGGGACTGGGAAGGGGAAGAAGATCGGTGGCATTAGATGTTGCTTGCCTTTGCTCTGTAGGGAATGGCTAACTGAGTCCCTCTGGGGCCTAAGCTTTGGCAGAGTCTTGTGGTTTTCCTGTCCCTACCAAATTCCTCCCTGTGGGACTAAGGGTAAGGGAGGGAGATCTTAGGCCCTTGATGTGAAATATTTGTGGCGTGGTACATCAGCATCTCAGAGGGGTGGAACAAGCAGTTGCATGCCCCCTTGAATGGTGCTCTGCCATAAAGGGGTGTGAGTGGATACTGGGAAGGGATAAGGAATGCTCACTGGGCAGAATCCTCCCCAGGTTCATCAAGAGGAAGAAGTTTGATGATGAGCTAGTGGAGAGCAGCCTGGCCAAGTCTTCTACTCGGGCAAAAGGGGCCAGTGGGGTGGAACCCGGCCGCTGTTCAGGGAGCGAACCCTCTTCTAGTGAGAAGAAGAAGGTGAGGAATTAGGGGGTGCAGGGTGGGGGGGCAGCCCCAAATTTCATGTTTCTTCAGAACCTTTGCCAGCTGGAAAGAGCTCTATTGAGGAGGCTTGTGAGAGGATCAAGCTGTCCCAGCCCCAACTTCAGATGCCTCCAACTGGGAGCCCATTTCTCCCTACTCCCCCTTTCTTGCTGCCCCCCCCATGCATCCTGTATCACATTCTGTGTGGGAGGGATGGAGCATACATCTATTCTGGGAACAGGCAGTCTGTTACCAACATTGCTGGGTGTAAAAATAACCCCCAGGTGGCATTGCTCTGGCCCCAGACGCTGTAGCAGCAAGAGTGTTTTCCTGCTATCCCCCCTTCCACTCCCCACTCTAAGGTTGGGTGTGCCATCAGCAGAGAAGACCACATATGGTCAAGTACTATGTAGAAATAATTTGTGGGGGTATTAGAAGGAAGCAAGCTCAGCGTCCTGTGCTTCTGATTGTTGAGTGGGGCTGGGGCTGCCACAGACTACATCAAACTCTAGGCCAGAAACGCCAGCCTCCCTGATGCTGGCTTCATGCTCACTGTGTCCCTGTCCTCTGCCCAGGTATCGAAGGCCCCCAGCACTCCTGTGCCTCCCAGCCCAGCCCCTGCCCCTGGACTCACCAAACGTGTGAAAAAGAGCAAACAACCACTTCAGGTAACCAAGGATCTGGGCCGCTGGAAGCCTGCAGATGACCTCCTGCTCATCAATGCTGTGTTACAGGTAGTGCCTCCCACCAACCCCCTTCCCTAGCCTCCAGTTCCCAGCCCCCCAAACTAGCCCAGGAGTGATATGTGGGTGGCAAGGAAAGGGTTCTTCCTAGCTCCTAAGGCTGGAGCAAATCCCTCTGGGGCTTTGCAGACCAATGACCTGACATCTGTCCACCTGGGTGTGAAGTTCAGCTGCCGCTTTACCCTTCGGGAAGTCCAGGAGCGCTGGTACGCCCTGCTGTATGATCCTGTCATCTCCAAGTGAGTGGGTCCCTCTCCAGTACTGAAGATGTACTGGGGACACCAGAATTCAGCTCTGGGAGGAGAAAGAATTGCACTAGGGTCCAAGGGAGGGTGCCCACAAGGCAGGGCTCCTGGGTCCTTGCATTCTCTGGGATAAGTCTCAGACCTACCAGACTTCAGAAAGAACTTCCTCCCAGCCTCCACCCCTACTAGTCCTGGTATGATGCCAGGAGCCAGGAGACTCTGCAAGCAAAGGAGATAGTGTGGAGAAAGTGTCAGAATGAGCACCAGGGGCCCTGGCTCTGCCAGTGTGCCATGTGGCTTTGGGCAGGTCTCCAGCCTTTCCACACTGACATCCCATAGGTTTTTTTTCTCCATAAGATGAGGGAATAGACCAAAAGAACACTAAGGCCCCTTCCAGCTCCAACAGCCAGGATTCCAAATAAATCCACAATGTGAACACACACACGTACACACAATACACACTTTCCTCCTCAGTCACTTAGTTTAATGTCTTCAGAGTTTGGTTGGATGCTTACCACCCATCTCGTCCTCCTCCACAGCTCCTGCTGCCTTTTAAGCTGTAGCCATGGCTCTGACACATCAGGAAATGGGCAGGGCTCAGCTCAGGAAAATGGGAGGTAGCAGGCAGTGGCTTGTGGGTGACAGCTTTGGCCAAGGTCTTGAAGAGGGAGCAATAGCTGGTCTCAGGTACTGCCCCAGGATTGGCCCTGTGCCTTTGAGTTTCCTTCACTAGGTTGAATATACCTCAGTTTTTTGAGTTGCCTGTTTATTTGCTTGACAAAACCTATAAGGTTGCAGGTACTTTGCTAAGCCTTAGGCTCTCCCTGTTTAGGGCCTGGATCTAAAAGACCTGCAGGTTTTGGGGAAGTAAGGAACCCCAAATTGCTTGACACCTTCTCCTCAACCCTGCCCTGAGCCCTGCCTTTATCTCTGCCCAGGCTGGCTTGCCAAGCCATGAGGCAGCTGCACCCAGAAGCCATTGCAGCCATCCAGAGCAAGGCCCTATTTAGCAAGGCTGAAGAACAGTTGCTGAGCAAAGTAGGATCGGTAAGACCAAGGATTGGTTGGGAAGTTTGACTGCCTAGAAAACTACTTGTGGGGTAAGCCCATTGTCTGAATAGACTCGAGTGTGATGTTCAGATATGTGAACATTTGCAGGACCTTTGAGGACAGGGCTCTTGGAAAGAGCCAAGCCTGGGTCTCTTAAGGGGCTTTATGTACGTACCCTCTTCCAGTTCCTGATGCAGATTGGTGGTTGGTGGGTGGGGAGGCAAAGACAAGAATAAGAAAACCCTGACTCCTTAGAACATGTTTCTTGCCCTCCAGACTAGCCAGCCCACCTTGGAGACCTTCCAGGACCTGCTGCACAGACACCCTGATGCCTTCTACCTGGCCCGGACTGCCAAGGCTCTGCAGGCCCACTGGCAGCTCATGAAGCAGTATTACTTGTTGGAGGACCAGACAGGTAACTGGCCCCATGAGCTGGCAGAGTAGGTCAGCATGTGTGTGCATTCATGCGTGTGTGTATGGGTACAGCTACCCTCAGGGGCCCTCTAACAAATCCATCAGTGACCCCAGTGTCTTGTTGACTATACTTGCCAACAAAAACTACTTCCTTCTAGAAGGAGGAACTAAGTTTGGAGTGGTCTTCAGCTTCATGGTAAAGGGGACCAGAATTGCATAGACTCCTGGGCAAAAAGCCTGATGAGTAGAGCTGTCTACCACTTCTGTTTTGGGTTTTTTCCTGTCACACTTTACCATTACATAAATAATAATATATTCTCCATCAGTAGCTTTCAAACATAAGCAAAATGTGCAAGTCCACTTTACTGCTTACCCTCCCCTTTGTTTCCCAACCTGAGATAATAACCACTTTTCCTAAGCTTCTCTGCCCCTTCCCATTGCTCCTCCTACCAGGCAGTCAGTACTGTGAGGCTGCCTCAGGCCATTCAGCAGTCACCACTAGGACTTCACACCTGTCCTCTGTTCCCCTTTTTCAGGACCAGTGCGCTCTCTGTTTCCTTTCTTTCCTCCTAAACAAACCCCTGCTCTCCAAGTGACAAGTATTAGGAAAGCAATCTGATTAAATGGCAGGACACTCTTCAGTTGGGTTTGTGATCAGTCTCAGATTTTCACAGTGCAGGCATACTCAGCTCTTGCTTTCTGAAGCTTATTACATACTCCCTTCTGCATATTGCCTTCCTATAGGTTTTCACTATTTATTGGAAAACTTTCACTACATAGTATCTCTTTTGTTCTCTGCAACTTTGTCTTTCTGTTCTGGTTACCTAGTACCACTCTGACAGGAATAGACCACAAATGGGATGGCCTTTATTAAGGAGTTTATTCTTTTACAGTTCAGGAGGCTAGAAGTCTTGAGTTCAAAGTGCCAGGATCTAGGGGTTGGGTGAAAGCCCCTCAACCTTGGGGTCCAGCTCTGCCTCCTGCTCCTGGCCCACTGGAGCTGGAGGCGTTTCTTCACTCAGACAGCTTCTGGCTGCTGAGGCTGAGAAGCCCCAAGGTTGACAAGTAAAAAAGCACAGTCCCAATGTTACCAGACCATACGGCAGGCCATTAACTTAAGTCCATCGTTAAGTCCCAAGGTCAGCAGAACATGGCAGTCTGCTGAACAATGACACGGCTACATGCAGGGCCCAAGCTGTGCCATAGGCTTGAGACCATTACCAAGGCTTCTCCTTAAATACAGGAAGCAGACCACATTCCCAAAGGCAGCTCTTCAGCTGCTTGTGGTAGATCCCACCATGCTGCTGATTGCCAGTCTCGTCATGGGGAATAACTACCACCAGCTGCCCAGCCAAGTTGATACACAAACATAACTACCACACTTTCTAACAGAACTTTAAGGTCTGCCCTGTAGCAGCTCTCGCTAGCTAGCAGCCCTGAAAGTGTCATTGTAGCTTCTGGTTAGCAAGAAACTTTATTGTGGAGGATTTTTTTTTTTTTTAATTTGCTTACTCAGGGAACCCCTATATTTCCTTCTAAAGGACCCTAAATTTAGTATCAGGAGGGCAGCTCTCTTCAGTCCTGCAGTGTCCTGTCCAGACTTCTGGTTCTTCCTCGGGGCTAAAATACCACTGAATTCCCACAGAGAGAACAGAGACTGGATAAAGTTCAGTGTTGCTGCTACAACAACAAATCAGCCAGCTCCTTTGTCACCGTTTTGGAAGTGCCTTTGGGCGATCTACTTCTGTAGTGATACCGCCTCGGAAACCCAAGGCGGACCCAAGGCGGGGTCACTATGAGTCGGGTCTGATTTGTTGGCAGTGAGTTAGTTTTAGTTCTAATTTTAAAGTTATTTTTGTATAAACTTATTTGTTAGCTGAAAGCCCAACAGGCCTCATTTTTGCCTTCAAAAGTCTTCTTATATGGGGATTTCATCTCTCCTTGCTATTTAAAGCTAGAGTTCCCTAGGAGCAGAAGGGAGACACTGCTTAGTTGTCAAAGCAATGGAATATTGTTAGGTGCTGTCAAGTCAGTTCAGACTCATAGTGACCCTGTGCACAACAGAAAAAACACCAGTCCTGTACCGTCCTCACAGTTCCTACTATGCTTGAGCCCATTGCTGTAGCCACTATGTCTGCCTGTCTCATTGAGGTCTTCCTCTTTTTAGCTGATCCTCTGCTTTACTAAGCATGATATCCTTTTTAAGGGAATGGTCCCTGCCAATATCATGAGCAAAGTACAAGACAAAAAGTCTCACCATCCTCGCTTCTAAGGAGCATTCTGGCTGTACTTCTTCCGAGACAGACTTGTTCATTCTGCTGGCAGTCCATGGTATATTTAGTATTCTTCACCAATACCATTATCCAAATGCATCCATTCTTCAGTCTTCCTTATTCATTGTCCAGCTTTTTTTTTTTTTTTTAATTTATTTTATTTATTTTTTTCATTGTCCAGCTTTTGCATGCATATGAGACAAGTGAAATACCATGGCTTTTTAGGCATGCCTCAGTCCTCAAGGTGACATATTTGTTCTTTAACTCTTTAAAGAGGTCTTTTGCAGCAGATTTGCCCACTGCAGTACTTTGATTTCTTGACTGCTGCTTCTGTGAAGTCTTTGACAACTTCAATCTTTTCTTCATTTATAATGTTGCTTATTAGTCCAGTTGTGAAGATTTTTCTTTTCTTCATGTTGAGGTGTAATCCATACTATAAGCTGTAGTCTTGGATCTTCATCAGTAAGTGCTTCAAGCCCTCTTCACTTTCAGCAGTAGGGTTTTGTCATCAGCATATCACAGATCCAAATGCCACATTCTTCTTCGTATAGTCCAGATTCTCAGATTATTTGCTCAGCACACAGATCCAAAAAGTATGGGGAAAGGATACAACCCTGATGTCCACCTTGCCTGATTTAAACCGTGCTGTATCACCTTGTTCTGTTCAAATGACTGCCTCTTGGTCTATGTATAGGTTCCTTATGAGCACAATTAAATGTTCTGGAATTCCCTTTCTTTGCAGTGCTGTCCATAATTTGTTATGACCCACACAGTAGAATGCCTTTGTATAGTCAGTAAAACACAGGTAAACATCTTTTGGTATTCTTTGCTTTTAGCCAAGATGCATCATCAACAGTGATATTTCTCATTCCACATCCCCTTCTGAATCCAGCTTGAATTTCTGGCAGTTCCCTGTCTATGTACTGCTGTAACCAGTTTTGAATTATTTTTAGGAAAATTTTACTTGCATATAATATGATAGGATTCAATAATTTCCACATTCTGTTGGATCATCTTTCTTTGCATTATACACAAATATGGATCTCTTCCAGTCAGCTGGCCAAGTAACTGTCTTCCATATTTTGGGATAGACAAGTGAGTACTTCCAGTGTTGTATCCACTTGTTGAAACATCTCAGTTGGTATTCTGTCTATTCCTGGAACTTTATTTTTCACCAGTATCTTCAGTGCAGCTTGGACTTCTTCCTTCAGTACCATCGATTCTTGATCATCTGCTACACCCTGAAAATGGTTTAATGTTAATCAGTTCTTTTTGGTTCAGTGACTCTGTATATTCCTTCCATCTTTGATACTTCCTGCATTAGTCAATATTTTGTCCATAGAATACTTCAGTTCTGCAATTCAAGGCTTGAATTTTTTCTTCAGTTCTTTCAGCTGAAGAAGTGCTGAGTGTGTTCTTCCCTTTTTGTTTTCTAACTCCAGGTCTTTACACATTTCTTTATAATGCTTTACTTTGTCTTCTTGAACTGCCCTTTGAAATCTTCTATGTAGCTCTTCATCATTTCTTCCATTCACTTTAGCTACTCTCTGTTCAAGAGCAAGTTTCAGAGTCTCTTCTGACATCCATTTTCATCTTATCTTTCTCCTTTGCTTTTAACAACCTTTTGCTTTCTTCACACATAATGCCCTTTGTCTTTCCACAACTCATCTGGTCTTCAGTCATTGGTGTTCAGTGCATCAAATCTATTCTTAGCGTGGTCTATAAATCCAGGCTCAAGCTTGTACTTTGCCTTTCATAGACGTGTTTTAATTTTCTTCAGCTTGTGTATGAGCAATTGATGATCTGTTCCACATTTGGCCCCTGGCCTTGTTCTGACTGATAATATTGAGCATGTCCATCCTCTAGTCCCATAAATGTAGTCGATTTGATTCCTGTGTATTCCATCTGACGAGGTCCACATATATCGTCACTGCTTATATTTTTAAAATAAGATTTACAATGAATAAGTAGTTGGTCTTGCAAAATTTTGTTGTGCGATCTCTGGTATCATTTCTGTCACCAACGCCAAATTTTCCAACATTGGTCAGTTACCAATGGCCCGTGCTTTGTTTCCAACTTTCACATTCCAATCATCAGTAATTATCAATGCTTCTTGATTGTATGTTTAATCAGTTTCAGACTGCAATAGTTGGTAAAAATCTTCAATTCTTCATCTTTGGCTTTAGTGGTTGGTGCATAAATTTGAATAACAGTCATTAATTGGTCTTCCTTGCAGGTGTATGAATATTATCTTATCACTGACATCAGGGTACTTCAGGATAGAGCTTCAAATGTTCTTTTTGACAGTGAATGTGAAGCTATTCCCCTTCAATTCATCATTCCCAGCATAGTGAACTATATGATTGGCTGATTCTAAAGGGCCAATATCAGTTCATTTCAGCTCACTAATGCCTAGGATATCAATCTTTATGCATTCCATTTCATTTTTGATGACTTCCAATTTTCCTAGATTCATACTCTGTATGTTCCATTTTCTGATTATTAGTGGATGTTTGCAGCTGTCTCTTCTCATTTGAGACATGCCAGATCAGCAAATGAAGGTCTAGAAAACTTTCCTCCATCCGTGTCATTAAGGTCAACTCTACTTTGAGGAGGCAGCTCTTCCCAAGTCATATTTTGAGTGTCTTCCAACCTGAGGGGCTTATCTTCTAGTACTATGTCAAACAATGTTTCACTGCTGTTCATAAGGTTTTCAGTGGTCATTTCTTTCAGAAGGAGATCACCATGTCCTTCTCCTAGTCTGTCTGAGTCTGGAAGCTCCCCTGAAACCTGTCCACCATGTTTGAAATACCAGTGGCGTGGCTTCCGGCATCACAACACGCATGCCACCCCAGTATGACAGATGAGTGGTGGAACTGAATGTTAGATTGGTAGAATTTCAGGCAGCCATGGGGAGTTGGTGGGGTTGGTCCTCCAAGCTTCTAGTCTCCCATGTAGTCTGACTAAAGGAGGGGGAAGAAAAGGAGCATTTGAGGCTCCTTTTATTTTATTTTGAGGCTTTCATAAAACACCCTCTTTCCCTGGCAGTCAGTGGTAACACCCAGCTGTTTCACATTCCTCACAGGAGAGTTTCATGCCCGCTAGCCGGTGGGCTGCTAGCAGACATGAAAGTCCTGGGAACAGGAGGCCTGAAGACAAGTTCTCGGATTTTTTTTTACCCCGGTAGCCTTTACCTTCTGACTAGAAAAAAAACAGAAAAACTTACAGGAAACAGTATTTATCCTGAATATGGATTCTGATATTAACTGTCCTATATCAGTTTTTGAAAAGTGAAGTTTGATGACCCATTAATGAGTCATGAAAAATACTGACTTAAGGTCAGGCAGCTCCCCAGGGTCATATACTTTTCTAAGTGGGACTTGGCTGACATATGCCTGTTAGCCCCTCACTGAGTGTGGCAGAAGATGTTGGGGAACATCTCATGTGGTAGGAGCATTTTGGGTGTGGAACCAGGAAGGCAGGACTTGTGTGTCCTGGCTTTGTCACAAACTAGGGTCAAATAGTTTAATCCTTCTGTATCTGTTTCCTCATCTATAAAATGGAGTTGATAGTAGTACCTTCCCTACTTAAATCAATGGATATAAATGAGAACCCTTTGCACATTGAGGAGCCACACAAAAGGTCAGTTTTAATTTCCTTTCCTTTCTAGAATCACCTCTCCCTTCAGTTAACCTTAAGAATGCTTTGTACCCGATTATGGTGCAGCCTGATAGAGTGTTGATTTCGGCACTAAATTCTTCACACATCCTCAGTCTTTACTGCTTGCACCTACTTAGTTCAGTTGTCTGCCAATAACATACAGTTGAATGGGAGAATCGGTGCTGACCCTTCCTCTGTCCTTTGTTCAGTGCAGCCGCTACCAAAGGGGGACCAAGTACTGAACTTCTCTGATGCAGAGGACCTGATAGACGACAATAAACTCAAGTGAGTGGCCGAAGATGCAGGCAGGGGCAGAGGGGAGATGACCCTCTCCCCATTGGGGAAAGTTTCCTGGGCTGCCCAGCCCACCACACCTGCCTTGCATACTGCTGGGTATGGAGCCAGCCCCAGACTCAGCCTCAGACTCTAGTCATACCTTGTGCTCGGTCCTGTGCTGAGCTCCTTCCCTTCCTCTTGGGGCCTTGTTAGGCTCCTTTGCCTTACCCCTGCCCCCACCCCGGGCCCAGGGGATAGGCTAAGCTGAGGCTAGAGGAATAGCCTTCTAAGCCACTTGACCAGAGGGACTTGGCAATACCCTGATGAGCCAAGTAGCACCCAAATGATGGTGGCAGGTGAGCTGTAGGTGGAGCCTAATTCATCCCCTCTGATTGTCTTCTTTTCCCTCAGGGACATGCGAGATGAAGTCCTGGAACACGGTGAGTGTGCCCTGGGTGGAGCTGGGGGGTGGAGGGAGACAGTGAGGGGATGGAGCCCTTGCCAGAGTGAAGAGAACCGGTGCAAGGTACTGGTGACCTTGGAGTGTCTATCCTGACAACCCCACCTCACCTCAGAGCTAACAGTGGCTGACCGGCGCCAGAAACGAGAGATTCGGCAGCTGGAGCAGGAACTGCACAAGTGGCAGGTGCTAGTAGACAGCATCACAGGTGAGGAGGCCAGGGGACCAGGGGGTCGGTGTTCACCTCTCTTTGTCCCGTTTTGAACCTCTGTGGTTGCCTACTGGGGTACACCCTCATTTTCCTGACTCCCTGTCCTCAGTAGGCCTGCCTCCTACGCCATCCTCCTAAGTGGACTCTTCCCTAATCCTGCTCTTCTCCCAGGCATGAGCTCTCCAGACTTTGACAACCAGACGCTGGCAGTGCTGCGGGGCCGCATGGTGCGGTACCTGATGCGTTCCCGAGAGGTGAGGTGGGCCCTTCTGTCAGTCTTCTCCTTCACTACCCTTTCTGTGTCTAGTCCCTATTTTCTCACCTTTCTCTGGCCTGCATGGACCCCTGACACCATCTGTCAGGTCCCAGCCTTTACCTGTCCTGTTTCCCCAGATCACTCTGGGCAGAGCAACCAAGGATAACCAGATTGACGTGGACTTGTCTCTGGAGGGTCCAGCCTGGAAGATCTCCCGGAAGCAAGGTATCCCTACCCAACCCTGCCCCCAGGCGGAACCAGTGTAAGGATATCCCTTCCAGCTCTGTCCCTAGGACAGATTCTCTTTTGGCTTAGCTATTGACCCTCCTTTTCCCCTGTACTTCCACAGGTGTCATCAAGCTGAAGAACAATGGTGATTTCTTCATTGCCAATGAGGGCCGGCGGCCAATCTACATTGACGGACGACCTGTGTTGTGTGGCTCCAAATGGCGCCTCAGCAACAACTCTGTGGTGGAGGTGAGCTGGTTGGGAAGGAGAAAGGTGGAATGGCTGGGATGAGACTGAGGATGTGGTGAACCAGTAGTGGGCCTGGCCTCCAGCCCCCCCATTCTGTCCTGAGCCAGCCTTCTCACACCCACAGATAGCCAGCCTGCGGTTTGTCTTCCTCATCAATCAGGACCTCATAGCTCTCATCCGGGCTGAGGCTGCCAAGATCACACCACAGTGAGGGGTGGTGGCAGACTTCTAGGCTCTCTCTGGCCTTAGTTTTCCCTGCCATTTTAGGCCCCTTCAGCTGGGAACTCAGGCTTATGGAAAAGCCTGCCCAGAGTGGACAGCAGGAAACCCAACTGCTGGCCTCTGGATTTGAGCCTTTGAGGGAGGGTGGGGCTGGGCACTGGAAGCCAGGTAGAGGCTGGGACCTTCTACCTTCCTGAGAGCCAGAACCCCTTCCCCTCCTCCTCTGCAGACCACCCTCCTCTTCCCCCAAGATTTCCACCTTCACTCCTATGTCTCTAGCTGATTAGCTTCAGACTTTTCCTTTGTTTTTTTTTTTTTTTTGTAAATAAAAAGCACTGAGTTCCAAAGGTAGTTTCTTTTATTATTACTTTTTTTAATATAAAAAATGGGACAGGTGGAGGTGGGGGCACATGCAGGAGATGGCAGAACCCCTCCTTGGCCTCAGACCTCAGCCTCCAGCCTGCAGAGGAGGGGAGGAGGTCAGGGGAGCAGGCTGAGAGGTGCCCAAGTGTAGGGCCCATAGATTCCTAGCCCTAGGGCCCGCCCCCGAGGCTCCAGCCCACCCTCTGCTGAGGGTCCTGGTCACTGTCCTGAGCCAGTGGGCAGCACAGAGTCCATGGGTGGCTGCTGCCCCTTCTTCCACCCTGAGATTGGGCAGAGCAGCAGATGGCAGCATGTCTGGCAACACTGAGTTCTGGGGCTACAGTCAGACCCCAGTGCCTTCTTCCTGGGTCCACTGGACCGTGCCAGAGCCGTGGCAGCCAATAAGCACCATCTCCAGGTTATGGGGGTCCCAGGGCAAAGCCAGGCCTCCTGGCCCTGGTGGGGGTTCTCCAGTGCTGGTAGTCTCAGCCTGGCTCACAGGCTCCGGGGGCCCCGTTCTAGCCCCTTCCTCAGAAGAGGGCAGTGAAGCAGGAGTACTGGGTTCAGGGCAGAGTTCTCCTGAGCCAGGGGGCTCTGAATCTGAGGTGGAGGTCCAGAAAGCTGAGGCTCCAGGCCAGGGGGAGCTCTGAGAGGCTGGGGGGCCCCAGGGCCAGGGTGCTATGAGGGGAGGGGGCCCTGGGCGAGGGTGGGGCCAGGTTCCACTCGAGATGGAGCCAGCTGGAGGCTGCAAGCAGTAGGAGGATGCCCCGGTGTCCACACACAGAGGCTGCAGTAGGCCAGAGGTGCTGGCTGGGCACAGCCCTTCACCACGGGGTGCCAGAACCAGCTGCACAGCCTGGCGGAGTGACTGCAGGCCTTCCCGCATCTGCAACACCTGTTCAGACAGCTCTACCACCTACAAGGGAGGGAGGGGGCAAATCAAGAGTGCAATCAGCACCCTCACCCTACAGTGGGGGCTGCCCCTCTGCCCCTCCCTTGCCTCCACCTTGCCCCTCACCCACCGCCTGCCGAAGCTTGTCCAGTGTGTCTGCATTCTTCGTCTCGCTGGGCCCAAGGGGAACAGTGAGTAGACCATTCTCTATGGACAGTGGGACAGGGTTAGCAGCCAGGGCTAGTAGGAGTGGCAGTGTAGGGCCCTAGGCCTTTGCTCAGTTAGAGATGGTGGCACCTGGCCTTGCCCAAGCTGCTAAATTTTGCCCAAACTGCCAGGGGCAGGGAGAACACCTCCCACCAGCGTTGGTCTCGCATTGCCCAGTACTCCCCTCACCCTCAGGAAGTCATTTCTTATACCTATCTCATCTTCTGCCCTCCAGGGAAATAGTCATTCCTAGGAGCTGGTTACCTGCCCATTTTCCCAGGTGACCTAGCCTGGGGCCATTTCAGCTCTGGTTCCCAAGTCCACTATCTCCCCTCACCACCACCACCAGTGAGCCAGACAATTGCTAAGTGTTTTAGCTACATTATCTTATTTAACATGCACAACCACCCATTTCATACACAAGAAACTGGGGCTAAGAGAAGCCAAGGTCACACTGCTGGGAAGCTGGTAGGGATCCAAACCCAGCTGCTAAGTATGTCAGATACCAAGTGCCTGGCCTTAACCACCAAATACCCGAAAAAGGGCAGAGGTGCGTGAAGCTGAGAGGCTTTGGGCAGTTCATGTCCCACCCAGTTTCTCTAGCACCGACGGCTCACAGGCTGACTGTTCTCAGTTCACAGGGGCAATGGGCTGCCCACTGACCTGCCCCCTCCTGGCCCATACCTGGTCCAGGAGAGGGGCTGCTGCTACATTCCGGGCCAGAATGCCCCACGCGGAAGGAGAACTTGGGCTGGTCGGAGCCACAGCCATCCTCAATGCCATCTACTACCCTGCAGACCCAGGCACCAGGACAACAAATCAATTGACAAGCAGCCACTATGGTGGCACAGATCAGGATGCCCTGGGGCCGCATACAGAGGCCACTGGGCCCCAAGAGAAAGGTAACACATGGTCCCTCCCCCTAGGAGCTGGTACTTTGGCTGGGGAGCCATGCTTGAGGAACATGAAGCAGCAAGAGAACACAGAGCAGTGTGTGACCATGCACAAGGTGGGCAGAGGGGCTGGGAGCAAGGACAATGGAGGAGTCAAGAATTTCCTCAAGGAGGCAGGCTTGGACCAGGCAGGCTGGGAGGGTTTAAGCTGGGGGGATGGGCACCCAGGGCATTGATAAGCCTGACCCACCATCTCAGCTGCTCACCTGGGGCTCAGATCCGGGGGCACATTCCATGGCATGGGGGGCAGTCGCAGCCCCTCTAGGCTCCGTGGGTGAGCAGAGGGGCCAGCCTCAGCCTGTGATGCCGCTGCCCTGCCCGGCCGCCCTTTACCACCTAGACGGGGCCGGGGTGCGGCTCGCCGCCGTGGGGATAGCAGCTTGGCAGCAGAGGATGAGGAAGTACAGCCAGGGGACAGCAGGGGGCTGGAGGGCTCATCAGCCGTGGCTGGGGAGGCCCCCGGGCCCTGCTCCCCATCCGTCTCCTTCTCCTCCAGTGTGGACATGAGGGTGTTGTCACCACTTAGGGAGCTGGTGTCTGCCTGGGGGCAGTGGGGACAGGGAATCAGCGGTAGATGGCCACTCTGCTGCCCACTCATCTCCCCACCCTCAGCTTCCTAGAAGGGATGATGCCCAGTATCTGCCACTCTGCAAAAAAAGAGGCCCAGTCAGGAGGGGTGGCCACAAAGCTGCCATGCACTGGAGATGCTCAATGCCCCTCAAAATTCTACCCTTCTTTTGGTGCCTTGGGCTAATTAAATTTTCTAAGAGAAGACTATACTAAACACTAGTTTGAAATTAGTGATATAATTCAGAAAAATTCGAAAGCCCCTCAGAACGGTCCTGTTTCACCTAAAGGAACAGGGGGAGCTGCTCTCTTCAGCATGTCCCTGAGGCCTACAAGGCATCCTATTACCAGTGGACTCGGCTTCCCTTCCCCAAGACTCCTCTCTGGACAGGGCCAGGCTATCTCAAATGGGTCAAGGAGGGCTGAGGGTGGCTGAGCACAGTTGGGCTGGGGCTTTAAAAGACAGATGGAGGGTGTGCAAAGGCAGGGAGAGTATAGCCTCCCTGGGGCTTTCCCAGAGGGCTATGCCCTCACACACAATGCCTCTACAAGCACCAGCGTCTGCCCACCCCACTCTTCTATGCATGTACCCAACATCCTCACCTCCGCAGGGCCTCCTCCAGCACCCAGGTTGTAGCTGAGTTCCCCTCGGAGGCCACGGCTGAAGCGCGGGGCAAATTCGGGGTATAGCGCGAGGCTCTCATGCAGCCCTGCCAGCTGCAGACACTGCAGGACGCAGTACGTCAGCCCTTTCACGTCTGCATTGGCCTTAACTACCTGCTCCCGCCGGGGCAGCTCACAGCCAATCAGATCACCCTTCCCTGGGGAAAGGAAGCAAGGTCAGCCAGACCCACCCTCAGCACAGAGAAGAAGGGAGATGAGGAGAGAGGAAGGGAAGGAGAGCTGAAGGCCAGTGAGCTTCTATCTCCTAAATTGGGCCTTTTCAGCAGGGACCCATTGTGGAGCCCTGTTAGAGCCAGGACAGACAGGAGCAAAGCAGCTCCTTGCCCCACCACCAGCTCCCCAGATAGTCTTGGGATGAAAAGTACTGTGCCTGCTGGGATCTTAAAAGCTTGCAAGTGGCCATCTAGACGCAACGATGGGTCTCTCCTCATCCAGAGCAAAGAATGAAGAAAACCAAAGATGCATGGAAACAATTAAGTCCAAGGAACTGGTACACCATGTGATCCTCCACTTATAAACTATGAGACCAGAAGAACTAGATGGTGCCTGGCTACCACCGTCAACCATTTGGAGGGAGATTGGTGCAGGAGATCCTGGATAGAGTGGGAGAACAATGTGGAACAAAACTCAAACTCATGGAGAAAAGAAAAAAAAAAAAAAAAAAGCCAGGTTTGCTGGTCTGATAGAGCCTGGTGAGACCCCTGAGAGTATGGCTCCTAGTTACTCTTCAAGTCTGGAATTGAACTCAATCCTGCAGCTTCCAGCCAAACAACAGACAGGCATATGGGGTGAACATTTACATCAGGTAGATACACTCCTTGGAGAGATCAGTCATGGGAGAACAGAAGGGCAGTGTTTTCACAGGGAGACAGCTGGGGGTAGGATGGGAGTGCATGGGAGGGAAGGACACAGGGAAGAGGTAACATGGGGAGGAAGTGGGAAGGAAGCTGTTACATTGTGGGGAATTGCAGTCAATGTTATGAGACAAAGTGTATGTGAACTACTGTATGGAAAATGAATTTGCTCTGTAAACTTTCACCCAAATCATAATAATTTTTTTTTAAAAAGTATTGTGCCCTGGGCTCTAAAATAAATTCAGGACCAAAACCACTGTGCTAAAATACACCAGAATTTCAGCTCTGAGAAACTGGACAGTTTACAAATCTATAGATGAGAATTCCCTGGGGAAGTTAAAACACTGAGACTCCCAGGCCCCAAACAGGCCTACAACTTTCGTACTATCCATGGAGAACTCATATGCTGACTTTTAGAGCCCCACTGGTGATCCAGGCAGTCCATGCAGGACAGTGTTTTGTACCAGCAGCAGAGTATGATGGCCCACGTGGCCCCTTGAAAGTGCCAGGCACCACAGCACTTCAGAGCAGTGTGGTCTTAGTCAAGTTACTTCATCCTCCAAGTCCCCAACTGCCACTGAACTGAGGCCATCATGCTTTTCTGATCTTACCAGGTATCAATAGAGGGTCTTCGTGGAGCTGAGACTGCCACCTGGCTAAGCGATTGTAAAGTGGCACCAGTTACAATCTGCATCCAATTGCAATGATATTAAATTGTAGGGAAAATGTGTCTTGGAATCAAGGAAAGAGGGTGTGTCCATACAGGGACATGTATTAACTGAGTTCATATAGATCAAGTGCTTGGCACATAAATGACCAATAAAAGCTAATTTCTTCTCCCCTTCTGACAAGAGTCCCCTATAGATCACACCCAACAAGGATAGGCCTGCAATCTGGCCTTGGGCACAGCACTCACTTCTCACAGTTCACAAGACTAGAAAGCATTTCTTCATCCTGTAGGGAGAAGACGGCTCCCTCCCATGGGCTACATCACGTTGCCAGCAGCACACCGCTTAGCAGCCTCCTCTAAAGATCCATGGACTTTTCCTCAAACCTAAGTGCAGAGCCCATCCCTGTTCGATTTCATTTCCTTGGTTTCAGCTCATCCTTTTGAGAGCTATCTGGATCTCAGTGTAATCAGCTGATGAATGACTTATCTCCTCCTCTGTGTCATCTGGAAGTAGGATAAGCAAATGTTTCTTGTCTTCTTCAAAGAAGGGAGAGAAAGATGAGGAACAGGACAGGACCAAGGATAGAGCCCTGTGCCACTATAGTCCCAGGGACCAGAGATTGCCCTCCAGGCTTTGTGATCAAACTCCAGTGAGATCCTCACTGCACCATTCTCAGCCTGCCTCTGTTCTTTCTCACAACTGACTGCATATGCTCAACCAGAGCCAGTTCACACAGGGAGGCAGGGCCAGAATAACACTGGAAAGTAAGTGGTGAGCCTTAGCTATCAGGAGCAGGCAGGGTATACCTGGGTGCTGCCACTAAGGAGGCAGGGTGACGGCAAACCAGGTTAGGTCAGGAAATCAGCTTTCATCAGGGTGTCCAGAACCTCCAAGTCAAGAGAGGAAATAGCTCACCCACAACATGTGGGCAGGGACAGGATGGATCGAAAGTGGCCTAAGTCCTGATCGGGACATTTGGGAGGCAATGCCCAGAGCACAGGCCACGGTCTTCCTTGTGGCTTCATTTTTACTGAATAGTGACCATGACCATTCTGAGCTGTGGTGCCCAACATCAGTGGAGAAATGCTCTCAGATAACTGAGCCAGCTTCCAGCCAGTGGCTCCCTTTGTCTCCAGGCCTGGAGACCACTTGTTGGATAATCCACTCCACAGTCTCTGACTGACCAGTCAGGCCTTCTGAATCTCCTCAGTTCTCCAGAACTTCTCAAAGATTGCCAGCCACACTTGAGTGGTCAGAACAGTTTGCTCAGAGTCCCAGCATAAACAGGACAGGCCCAAGGACAGAGCCCGATCGATCGATCTAGGCCCAGAAGCCAAACTCATGACAGATGCAAAGTGAAGGGCTTAACAGCCTCTCACCTCTCAGGCTCCAGGCCCCCTTGCTGGGTGTTTTTTTCTCCTGTTTCCTGTAGGAAGGTCATCCTCCTCAGTGGAGCGAGGATGGACACACAATAGCTGCTGAACGTCGGGGAACACAGTGCTGCCTTCCCAGAGGAAGATCTGCCTCCTTCCTAGTTCTTGCTTCATTGTGGATGGCCAGGCCAATGACAACTGTCAGTCCCTCTGGAGCTTTCGCTGCTGGAGGATTCAGCTGTGGTCAGGGACACCACCTCCCTCCATCTCCTGTACAACTGTCTTTATTACCTAGCAGATCACAGCCTTTCTCACTCTTAAAGTCACTGCTTAGAGCCATGGCTATGAAGCTGTCCTCCCCTTTAGCAGCGTATTCATGGATCCAGCCATATTTTCAGTGCTTGAATGTGCTTTTCTAAAGCCTAGGGTGCATGTCCAAACATCCTAAATCTTTCTGTGAGTCATGATTTTCCCTACATCCCAGAGAGCAGAGTGTAAGAAGTGTGAGTTTCAATCAGCAGACTAGACTGTTCCAAGTTCTGCCAACTTGTAGCCTTCATTAACCTCTCTGGGCCTTGGCCTCCTGACACGTAAAATGGGAATAATAATAATAGTTTGAGTGAGATCAGGCATGTAAGGGGCTGGGCACAGTGGACTCATCAAGAGACCCCTGGGATCTACACCATTGTTATGGCTATTCTGCAACGGCAACCTCTTCTTTGTCTAGAAAATTGGTAACTCATTTTCCCTTTTACTAAGAAGTGACAAGTATATGCTGTCAGATACCCTGATTTCACCAACATGAGCCTTCCCTTGGCCATTTGGAGGCTGCACTCTGCTGTGATCTGCTCCAGGACCATAGCATCTCACCTGTCCCATGGGCTGCAGGAAGCCCCACACAGGAGAGTTTTCATTCCTCCCTTTGTTCAACTTGAACACTCCCCAGTACTTCCTCCTCAGCACTTGACCTTCCTCCTTGACAGAAAGTGCTGTTCCCTCTGCCTCCTCACAGACACAAAAGGCTGACCCTCAGCTCATTCAGGCCCAGGAACACTCACGAGACCTTGTCCACACCCTTGTGTTACCCTCTGTGGCCACCGAGTCCTCTCTGAGCTTTGCCTAAGAACCAGAGCTTCTCCTGGCTTCATCCTGGCTGTCTCTTCCCAGTTGACCTTGCATATGCCCCTTCTCTGGGTTTTCTGTAAATGGGGACCACGTTTCACAGCCCCTGGGGTCCCCTGCCCTCTTCCCCACCCTCACAAACCTAGGATGGCGAGCACGGTGCCACCCTTGAGCACTTCCATGGAGCCAGAGCAGACAAAGTAGAGGGCCTGGAGAGCGTCGCCTTGGTGGATGAGGTATTCACCGGGTGTGCAGAAGGCAGGCCGCAGGGCCAGGGACAGTGCCCTCAGGCAGCCACGGCTGGCCGCCTCAAACAGGGGCAGCTGCAGGACCTCCTTGTGCAGGTGCATGGCGATGTCTGCACGGAGCTCGTCTGGGAGGCTCTGCAGCAGCTGGAGGTGAGCAGAGGAGTTAGACTGGGGATGCCAGTTGGGGGGCAGCCTCCAGGCAGCCCCTTCCCACTGGCAGGCCTCAAAGACAAGGGCAGGCAGGGGAGGAGCCTTAAGGCCTCTCCTCCCAGCATCATGCTCCACACACAGTACAACCAGTAATGGGGGTTGTCTCTGCCTCCCTCTCAATTACTTTAGCCCCCTATGAGCACCCCAACTTTCCTCCTCCAGACCTCAGGCTTGGGACCTCAGTGAGCACAGAGCCCCCAGATCTAACAGAGATGGGACTTCTGACCATTTGTGGCTGCCATCTGTCCTGTGCTACTGTCCCCCAGGAGAGAGATGAAGCAGAGAGGACAAAAGTCTGCATTCTTTAACTCTCCATCCTCACTCCAGAAAATTTTAGGCCAAGTCTCAAACCCCTGAGCGAGCTAAGGGGAGAAGGGCCAGCCCTGGGCTGCCACTGCACCTCGGTGGTGTCGATGCCATTGTTCACGGCCCAGGTGGCCTGGAAGTACTCCAGCATGCGCTGCTTGAGGGGCTTGGGGATGCGATGGATGCGGATGTAGTCACGCAGGTCACGGGTGCGGCTGTGGTACAGAAAGCGGCGGGCGTACATGCGCTGGATGATGGCCGTCACGTTCCCAAACACCACCGCGTGCATCAGGGCTGGGGAGGGTGGCGAGAGGGGGTCACCCACAGGATCCGGCCTGGCCCAGCCTGACAAAATGCTGGACACGTCTGTTCTCCCCCACCCGACATGCTCCTAGCCAGGGCATGTGGGCTTCTGGGTGGCAGGGAGTCTTGAAGGCAATTGTGACTTGCCCAGCTCCAGCTTTGTGTGCCACAGAGCTCCTAAATCAGAAGGGCCTCTGGCCCTGGGATCCTGGGGGAGGTGGGGAGGAAGGGGCGAGAAGCCTGAGGTGGGACCAGACCCAGAGTGGGAGGGTGGGTGGGGGCAAGTGGGCCGGACTCACCACCTATGAGCATGGTACAGATGGAGAAGATCTTCTCTGTGTCCGTGTTGGCGGACACATTGCCGAAGCCCACGCTGGTGAGGCTGCTGAGTGCGAAGTATAGGGAGGTGATATAGGCGCTGCGCAGGGACGGGCCACCCAGGAGCTCCAGCACTGTCCTGTTGGCCTCGTTGCTGCCATTGCTGCAGTTGTCACTCTGGACAGAGCCGTTTCCTACATCCGGGCTCTGGCCCACCAGGTAGTAGGGGGTCTCCAGGCGGCGGGCAAGCTCCTGAAGCCAGCCTAGGGAGGAAGGAGAAAGGCCTGAGAAGGCAGGACCACACTGCTGGACTGGGTATAGCTGTGCCCACTAGGACCCCAGGGGTGGGGGACAGAGAGATACAGATCCACCTCCCCATGGCTTCCCGCCCCTTGCCCCCTTCTCTTCTGCCAGCCCAGCACACCCGTCTCCTTTCTGTCTACTTCCCCATGTCCCAGCAAGACTGGGATGTCATCTCCCCATCTGTCTTCCACTGGTGCTGAGGAAGGAGCAACGAGTACTATGCCCCTCCTCGTCAAGTCGGTTCCGACTCATAGCAACCCCTCCTTGGGTTTGAGGAGGTATCTCTACAGAAGTAGATTGCCCAGTCTTCCTTCCGAGGAGTGGCTGATGGGTTTGAACTGCTAGCCTTCTGGTTAGCAGTCAAATGCCTTAGACATTACACCACCAGAGCTCCCGTTTGGTTTTTGGTTTTTCCTGTGGCTGGCACTGATTCCAGGAAGCAGGCCCAACTGGATGGGACAGAGGGACTCTCAGGGATCACTGCATTTAGCCACAGTCCTGTCTCCATGGATGGATGGGTGAGGACTCTTCTCTTTCCCGTCCACCCAGACTCTGCCTCCTCCTCTTCCTCTGAGTCCACCTCCTCCAGATAGCATTCCTAATATATACATCCAGCTTCATCTCTCCCCATAACCACATGGCCCCCAAATTCAAGCCCACCCCATGGGCATATTCCTACACACCTTCCAGGCTGCACACATGCCCTCCCACAGTCCAAAGTCAAGGATACACGTGGACACTCAGCCAAGCCACACAAACAATATCACAGGGCACAGCCATAGCCACTCACACAAAAAGGCCTGTGAGACACAAGTGCCTGCACACTCACACACAGGGGAGGTGGGGACACACTTATATGGACACAGCACACAGGGGAAGATGACCTCAAAGGTCCCAGGCATCCAGGCCCCACACTCTCACAGAGTTGAGGACACACTGGGCTCCCTTGAGGTCCCTGAGCACTCATGCAGACACGGGCTTAAAACTGCTCCATTGCCCCCTGCTAAGCACTGGCCTCACCCTACCTTCTCTGGTTTAGCTTTGGCAGGAATTGAAGTGTGTACTAGGGTCTCTCATGAGCCCATGGCTGCCAGCAATTACTCAGATCCCAGCCACAAGTTGTAGGATTCTAGGGTTTAGGACAGGGTTTGCAGGGCCCACTGAAGTCCCAGGGTCCTGCAGTGTTGGGGACCATGGAAGCAAGGGTAAGAGAGCAGATTGGTTGATCTAGGATGTAGACCATAGGTGGTAGTGCAGGGGGCATGGGGTGTGGCTCAGGATTGCAGGCCAAAGGGCGACCCTACCCCTCCACATGTGCTCTGCTCCTCCTACCTCCACACATTCCCAAGCCCCAACCCCCACTTTTCCAACACCTTATGTTCTACACCACTCCTCCCACCCATCCATCCATTCAGCAACACTGTGTACCAGGAGCCAAGGGACCCACAGGAACTTCCTGTTGGGAAGGAGCAGATAACGTAAGATAGTACATCTCAGAGGGACACACATCCTGACTGCCACATGAGGGGGCTCAAACTAAGTGGTAGGAGTTAGGGCTGAAAGTGTTCCTGGAAGAGGTGACATTTGTGCCTGGCCTCGAAGCATGAGTAGAGTTTGGATATGCAGAAACTGAAAGGGATCATTCCTGATTAAGGAAAAGGCATGAGTCCAATCCAGAGGGTAAAATTTTAAGACAAGTACAAGCAACTAGCTCTGTTTGGCTAGAATGTAGGGTTCACAAAGGTAGCAGCGAATTCCAAGCTAAGGAATTTTGGGGATGTGTAAGGCTCAAATTCGGGTGAGGCCTCACCCTCCAGTTACTTGAGGTGTGCTGTGAGACTGTAGTGGTGTGCTGTGTACTGGAGTGCACGGAACCTGTCATGGGCGTAATTTGGTTGGGCCTCTGAGGGAGTCCCAGGGAGGTGCCAGTGGTTCATGCATTTGGCTGCGAACCCAAATGCTGGAGGTTTGAGCCCACCCAGAGCCCCTCAGAACAAAGCCGTGGCAATCTACTGCCCCAAAATCAGCCATTGACAACCCTACAGAGCACAGTTCTGTGACACACGTGGGGTTGCCATGGGCCAGAGGTAACTCAACTGATGGTTACTGGTTCTGAGGGTGAAGTCAACGGCCCAGGGAAGGTGGGAGAAGCAGGTCAAGGAGGACCAGGGGTGGGGTGGCACAGGCAGAGAGGCCTTTCCTCTCAGTCTTGTCTGTGGCTGTCGGCAGCTCTTGGACCCTCTGTGTGGGTGGAGTGGGGTGGATTCTGGAGGCTGGTGGCTTTCATGTTTAGAGATGCTCTGAATCTACCTCTTTAAATATTTACAAAATCTTTTGAAAATCCAGCTTATCCCCCCTGCATGAATGGGACTCTGGGTAAAAAAATCTGGGTCCACACCACAGGCAGTGGAGAAGGGGAACCAAGATGAGGAAGCCATGGAGAAGACACCTCCCTTAACAGACCTGGGTCAGCAGAAGACTACTCTTCCCACCAAGGGCTCAGCTTTGGGAGGGCTGGGCTTGGCTCCAATGAGTGGATGTGGGTGGTTGGGCAGTTTCCCTGGTGAAAAGAAGGGGAAGATGGTGATGTGAAGGGTTTTGGAATCCCCCAAATGTGGACAAGTGCCAGGCCCAAAGAGAATGAAACCACCCTGGAACTTAGGGTACAAGGGTGAAAGAATTTACAGGTGTAGCTGTAATACTGCCAGCCAGCCCCCACACCCCTCATGCCACTGCACCACAGCCAAAGATGTTCTTAATGTCGGCTCGGCAGCTGCTGTGAGGTGGCTGGAGGAGAGGGGCTGCATGTCCTCAACACCAAGGATGTCTGGGTCCCGCTGCAGGGGAGGGGCTGACCTGGGGATATGAGTGTCTCCATCCACTCTGCTGCTTTGCTGTACCACTATCCATCTCACGCTCTCTGACTCAGTGCTCACCAGGTAGATGTCTGGCCCCAGAGCAGCCTGACCCCAGACTCCCTCCGGGAAGGGCAGGCGCCAAGCACCTGACACTGCCAAGGAGTGTCCTGGTTCCTGTGTTCATCAACTCGAGCACTCAGGGCAAATCTCCAAGTGGGCCCTGGGGCACATCCAGTCTCCTGGGAGCTTGGAGGGAGAGAGGGTTTGCAGGAGCTTTGTTGTCCCTGGGCCCTGATCAGCTCAGGTTTCTAAGGCTGACCCTGGATGCCTGGTGTCCCACCAAGGAGCAGACAGTCCAAAAGCAGCAGACATTTGGGTAGCTAGCCTCTCGTCTCTGACAAGTGATAAAGCCAGTTACTGGGAATCTGACGGAGGATTGGCAATTTGAGGCAAAGAAAAGTGTACCTGCAGGTTACTGGTGGTTAGAAATGGCTAGAAATGAGGTTTGGTGTTAGAGAGAGAAAGGATGGAAGTTGAGATGTTCATATAGTGGCACCAGTGGGATCCCCAAGGGAGAACGAGGTGAGGAAGGAGGAGATCTCTGAGGATCTCTGAGCAAGTTCAATGACAAGGGCTGGCCCTCACTCTGCAAAGAATTTGCACAGGGTTAACCGGCTCAGCTGCTACAGGCACTTCAAGGAGGATGAAGGCTTGGCCCCAGAAGGTCACTGTGACCTTCTGGGTAACGTTTTTGGTGTAAAGGTGGGGGTGGAAGCCCTCCTGGCAAGAGTTAAGATGTGAGTGGGAGGTGAGCAGAGGGAGGCAGCTGTGAAAGTGAAGGTGAAATGAAGGAGAGAGAAGACACTGGGGGGGATGCAGAAAAGGCGGGTTTTGGGGTGGGAGAAAGCTGAGAAGCAGCTGAATGAGATGCAGACTGGAGGCCAGAGAAGAGACAAGAGTGGGGCAGGGGCCTGGGCGCCAAGGTGATGGAAGCACTGGGTATCAGGGGAACAGTGTGGCCCTCTGCTTGAGAGAAGCAGGGTTTCCAGCTGGCCAGGGGCTTAAGGAATGTGACGAAGGTTTAGCCACCAAGAGGCCAAGATAGGTGAAAAAGAGGCTGGGGAGCAGCTTGACTCAGGGCATGATGTGATGGAGAGCTGGGGCGCCCCCCGGCAGCTCACTGGACTGTACACAAGGCCCCGGAGCAGAGGCCTACTTCATGGTGGTGGCTCACTCGCTCCCGCACACACCCTCTCTGATATACACGTATACCAACCCCTACAGTCCTCTCACAAACATAAACCTGCTTGTACTCATGTTGCTCTAATACACACATGCCTACTTGTACATGTCCCTCTGTCACATACACAGTAACACACATACACTCTTGCACACTTTTTCTTGAAACCTCATATTAGCACACAAAGGTACCCCTGACAGACACATGCTTGCACTCACATTTCTCTGATACACACATACACACTTGAGTAGACATGTTCCTCTGACACACATGTACACACACACACACACAGAGCCTTCAGTACCAATCTCAGGCAGCTCAGATTCACTGCTCTCGATCTCCCGCTGGCCAATGTAGAACCAGACGCAGGCCACCCAGTGGGCGAGCAGGGCGAACACAGCCATAAGCAGGGTCAGCACCACGGCGCTGTACTGCGAGTACCGGTCCAGCCGTGGAAGCAGGCGCAACAGCCGCAGCAGCCGCACCGTCTTCAGCAGGTGGGCCCCGAAGTACTGAGAGAGAGAAGGGAGGATGGTCACCCCTGGGCGGGTCCCTCCTGTTCCACCCCACAGCCCACCCTCCCAGACCAGCCACTGACCACGTTGACCTTGAAGGCATGTAGCAGATCGAAGGGCAGTGCTGCAATGACGTCCAGCAGGAACCAGGTGGTGACGTAGTGGAGGCAAATAGACTTTGGGGCAAACACCACCTGCCCCGACTTGGACACAAATGTGGTACGGAAATTCAGCACGATGTCTGCGGGAAATCATGGTGGGAGTCAACATGGGTTGGCGGGGGGCTCTCTTAACTGGACACCTGTGCAGCACTTGACGCTGTCCCAGGTCCTTGGCATACATCTCTGATTTAGTTCTTACAGTAACGCAAAAAGGCAGACATTGTCTATTCTATGGAGAAAAAAACTAAAGCTTGGAGACCTGTGTTGCAGGTTCAGGGTGATATAACACTTTAGTGGCAGAGATACACTTGAAACCTAGGTCTGATTTTAGAGCAACAGTCACCGACAGGTGAGGGTCGTGGGGAAGACACGGTGCTGAAAGCCATGGAGACTAACCCCATCAAGGCCAGGGCTAGGCTGAGTGTGGCATCAGAGCTGGAGCAGGGTGGGGCACAGAGCATGCTTACCAAGGATGAACAGGACCTCCACGGCCAGGTCACAGATGCTGGGGGGGCCGCGGGCAGCGCTAGGCTCTCGGGCTGTGCTCACACACACGCTGTAGGGCACAGTGACGGCCACATACAGTGTGGCTAGCAGGATGAAGCCGTCCCAGGTGGCCCGCAGTGCCCCGCAGTGCAGCAGGATGAATGGTGACTTCCGGATGGCGGCTACTTTGTACTCTGGCAGATTTGGCTTCTCCCCAAACACCCCCTGGTTGAGGCAGGGCAGGTCCAGGCAGGGAGGGAAGAAGATTGATGCAGGCTGAGTTTGGGTGGTGTCTGGGGCAGGTATGTTCCCCTCCTCTCCCTGCATTCTGCAGGGGGAGCCACTTCTGATATAGGAATTGGAGTCCCCATTTTATAGATGAGAAAACTGAGGACTGGGGAGGTCAAATGACTTAGCTGAGGATGCATAGCTGCTGAGGGGAAGAACCAAGGATTGAACCAAGGTCCATGTGACTCCAAGGCTAAGACTCCCCTCCCTGGCATCCTTCCTTTAGTGCCTAGCTCCCAAAATGCCAGAGAGACCTGTGACCCCAGCTGGTGCCCTGGACACTCTCTGTGGCTGGTCCAGTCCCCCCTCCCATCTGCCCAGCTTGCCCCTCCCCTGCCTCTCCCTCAACAGCTCCACTCACCTTATTAAGCTTGTGCTTGCCCTTGGGCTGCTTCTGCAGGTGTCCAGACAGGTGGTAGAGTACGGCTCGGCTCCGCCGCCGATTGGCATTGAAGCCTTTGGCTCCTGCTCGTCCATATCGGCGCCGGCCACCACCTGCAGAAGAGGGGCCCATTAGGAAAATGGGGGGAGTACCCACACACCACAGCATAGTCTTGGGTGTAGGACACCAGCTGCTAGTCCGCTGAACGGTCTAGTTGACAAACCAGTCTGTTCAGAGTTGGATGCTCAGGTGTTCCTTATTTCCCACAGACACTTGCCAACCCCAGGAGTTGGTTAGTGTCATGGATGCTTGCAGACACTTCTGGCAAGACCTGCTTCCACGAGAAGGAAGTTGAAGACCAAGACCAAGAAGAAAAGCTCCTCAGGGAAATGTCTATCTCAATAGGGAAAAGGAGTGGGGAAGTGGGTCACAGTGGTGAATGTTTTTGCAGAGGGCAGAGCCAGTGAAGCCACTGGGCAGAGATGCAGGAGCTCAGAGCAAGAGCTCTGAGGCAGGGGTCAGAGGGGATATGGCAGACTTCCACAGCAGTGAGGCAGACCCAGGGCAGGGGTGAGTGAGCAGGAATGGAGTATCCCCAGCGCCCACAAGCAGCAAAGATCACTTGGAACAGCTTTTGATGACAATTTTGTGACCTGCCCCAAGTCCTGCCCATCTCTTATAGGACATAAGAGAAGAAAGACTTCAAGAACTTTGGGCAGGGCTTCCCTATTAGGTTTGCTGTGAGGAAAAGGCATGAGGCCTGTGAGTCTGCACTCAACCTCGCTAATTGGTCAAAAGGTGGTACTTCCCAGGTGCTAGTGGAGTTTGTTTGCTTTCAGTTTCTTAGTAAAAGCGATTTAGAAAACTCCAACTTCTAGATAGGAAAGAAAACGAAGGGAAATCATAACACAGAGAAGAGGCGGGGGGAGAGAGAGAGAAAAAAAAAAAAAAACCCTCAAACTTTGTCCCAGCCAGTCTATCTGGGAAAAATGTTTCCACACTGGCCACATAAAGATGAGAGCAGCAAAGGAAGCCTCTCAGCTGGCCAGAGTGGGGGTCAGTGAGTACAAGAGGGGAAGGCAGGAGACACTGAGTCAAGGCTGGGTGCCGAGGCCCTTCACAGACCTGAGTTGGTTACCCAACACCCTAAACACAGCAGCTACATTTATGGCCCCACAAGCACCCACCTGTCTCCTTCCAGCTATCAGGGCCCCCTCGGTTCTTGGTGTCACTGATGTCCTTGTGAGAGACCAAGAAGAGGGCCACTTCTCCTTTCTCATTCTTTATGGGTATCACATCCAGGAGACACCAGAATGGGAGCCCTGGACACAAAGACAGGCTCAGCCCACCTCCCGTTCCCTGCTCAGCCCTGCCCACCACCCTGGCTCCATTGGCATCACTGGCCAACCCCCAAGTGGAACACTAGGACTTTCTGGGGAAAAGAGCAGCAGGCCAATTCCACATGGGAACAAGGTGGACGAAGGCTTGTTGTTGTTGTTGTTAAGTGCGTCGAGTCGGCCCCGACTCATAGCGACCCCTCCTTGGGTTTCCGAGGCAGTATCACTACGGAAGTAGGATTGCCCAACCTTCCTTCCGAGGAGTGGCTGGTGGGTTTGAACCGCCAGCCTTCTGGTTAGCAGTGAAGTGCCTTAGGCACTATGCTACCAGAGCTCCGGACGAAGGCTAGGGAAGCAGAAATTACTACTAGTATGTGTGTTCATAGATATGTCCAGCTGGGATGGTGGCCAGGGGTGCTCTTCTGCTGAGGTGGGAAACCCAACCTTGGAATTTTGTGGAGGCTGAGGCTGTGGTGAGGGTGGGAGAGAAGAGGGTCTAGGGATAAAGAGGTAGGTAAGGGAAAAAGGGCAGATAGGTGGAAAGATATATGGGAAGATGAGAAGAGCTGGGGAGGCAGAGAAGGTGGGAATGAAAGTAGGTGTGGATGGGGTGGGTGCCACACTGGGAGGCTGCACAAGTGAGGCAGGGTGGCCAAGTGGCCCTTACCGCTCTTCCGATATAGGATCAGCTCAGCCTTGAACTCCTTATGCTCGTCCAGGGCCTTGCGGATCTGCTGGCGGACGAGCTCACTGGTGTCTGGCCCATAGAGGAAGGAGCAGGCACAGCCCCGCTGCATGACCTCAGCCCGGGAGAAACCGGTGAGGTCACAGAAGCCATCCGAGCAGTAGACCACGGGGAAGACCCCTGCCACCTGGGCATTGCCCAGCACGAAGTTACTGTCTGCAAGAGAGCACTTCTCAGAGGAGGCTTGGGGTGAAGGGGAGGGAGGCCCTACCCCTCCTTTCCCAAATGCTTGTGATCCATGAGTAGGTGTTACAAAGCCCAGGAATTCTGCAGGTGCCCTGCAAGGGCTGGTTCTAGCAGTGCAAGCATGAGTGCATTGGCCAGTCAGCATGTATGAATACTGAGGTTGGTGAAGGCAGCCCTGGGTGGGTGATGTGTCCTCCAGTGTGTCCTGAGCAGCTCGGGGTAAGAGGTGGGGTGGAGATGTCTAAAGGAGGACTAAACTACCAACTTTAGCCCAGCCTCAGGCCTATCTTTATCTCTGGAAGACTCACCCACCTGCCAGGTACCCAGGTTGGTGGTATTGCTCCTCCCACTGGGACCCACCTGTCCTGGGAAACAGCCCAGGCCACCATTCACCCTGCCTTTTCTGTTTGAGCCTAGTGACCCGACCTGGCACAGGAATTAGTGAGTGCCATCAAGAATGGGGGTGTAAGAGTGGTGGCTGAACACTGGGTGCTTGGAGCCAGGGATGTATTGGGGAGTGGAGGACGCTGAATCAGCGGGCTGCAGGAGCCAAGGATAAGGCAAAGCAGATGGAGGAGCCTGTGTGTGTGTATGGGGAGACTCAGTGATTAGCTTCCCCCACCCCAATCAGGAATTGAGACCGTGGAGGACAACAAGCACAGAGCTGGGAAGCCCCACTGGGGGTGAGTGTGAGGGAGGATGAAAAGGGAGGGGGCTTTCACGACTTTCTCTGTGCTCAGTATCCCAGGACCCAGAAGTTCAGGATGCATTTGCGAACATCTACCCCCACCCAATCCTGGTGGGAGTCCCCAGTGCCCAGACCTCTCCTAGGGGCTAGACGGGCTCCCCACGGGTGGTAGGTTTAGGGAATGAGTTGGGCTTGGACAAACAGTGCTCTCTTCTCTGAGTTCCGCCTACACGATCTCCGTTTGCAAACCTCTTTTCTAAATTTATTTCCCGATCCCTCTCTGCTGTCCCTGAGCATCGCTCCCCTCCTCCAGCCAACCTAGGGGTGGTCGTTGGGACAACGCCAGACGCAGGGATGCGATGGATGAGATTAGGGCCAGGTCCGCGTCCCAGCAAACAGCGCATCCAGTGACCCAAGTCCCGGCACTCCTCCATTGCCCGCCTGGAGTAGTGTTGACCCTGAACCCTTCAAGAAAATCGGGCCTGGGAGGAGGTGGTCCCAGCTTCAAGTGGGGCAATAAGGGGTGAGAACAGGGCGGGCGTCATGACGAGATGTTCTTGGTGCAGAACCCGGTGCAGGACGGCTCGTCCGGGAGCTAGCGGGGAGAGGGTCGGACTCACGCGTGCCGTCGAAGCGCGTGGCGATGGTATCCAGAAAGGTGTTCTGTGGTGCCAGGAGCCCCCTCATGGCCGGCATCTTAGGCGGCCGCGGCCCCCCGCCCCATCCCTCCGGGGCGCGGGGGCTCAGCGCCGGGGGAGGGCGCCCAGCTCGGCCCCCCCCCGCCGGGCCCCGCGCCCCTCAGTGCAGCCGTCGAGGAGCAATGCCCAACCTGGCCTCGCAGGCCCCGCCGGCCGCCCGCGCGCAAGGGGGCGTCCGCGCCGTCGGGGTCCGGAGCATGGCGCGGCCCCTCCCGCCCTCCCCACCCACAAGATCCGGGAGCGGCGCTCGCTGCGCTCGCGGAACCTCCCGCTCGCCGCCGTGCGGCTTCCGTTCAGGCTGCGGGTCAGCTCCTGCTCGGGCTCCGCGCGGCGCCGGGTCCCCGCAGCTCCCTCCGTCTGTCGGGGAGAAGCGGCAGCCTCCTTCCCTACCTCCCGCGCCCGCCGCCTGCACCGGGGTAACCATGGAGACCGGGCACACCCAGTCAGGGCCGCCTCCTTAAAGGGATAGACCTCCCGCGGAGGGATCCCCCTCCCCTTGGGACCTCGGTGGGGGCAGGGAGGCGACTGCCTCCCCTCCCCTCGGCACGCGAGCCCCAAGCGCACCCAGCCGCCCTGCCCGCCCCTCGGAGCACAGCGAGCGAGAGCGCCCTGTCCCGTTCTGGCTGACTCAGGCGCTGTGGCGAGGCGGCTTTCTCTGCAGCCTGGGGGTTCTCAGAGAGTCTCCTAGCAGCCTCGCCTCCCCCAGAGAGAACGGAGGAGGGTAAGGGAGGGGAGGTGTATGGTGTAGACGATGCTTTCCCCAAGGAAAAATGCAATAGGAAGGAAGATTGGGCAGTTTGGCGGAGGTGAAGGAGGCCCTGTAATTGGCTGAGGCTGGGGATTGCTCCAGGTGCGCCTAGAGGGGCTCCAGCTGCACACACAGGGGAGTCTAAAAGGAGGTGCGTGTGTGTGTCGGGGAGGGGAAGCGTCTGAACACAGCGTCTGGGTATTCAAGCCTTTCTCAGTCTCAACTTGACCCTCTGGAAAATGGATCGAGCTGCTAGTTGGGAAATGCCACTGCAGGCAAGAGCAGTCCAGGAATTGGAGGGTGGGTCGGGTTGTGTGTGTCCATCCTTGCAAGCCAAGAGTCAGGAAGACCGCCCCAATCCAATCCTAGAGAACTGGACTCAGCGCTGGAAGGGGAGCTTCTGAGGGGTGGCTGCAGCAGCAATCCTCCTGCCGCCCCCCACGCCCCGCTGGGCAGGAGCTGGGGAGGAGGGGCCCGCGGGCGGAGCGGAGCTGGCCCGGGTCTGCTATCTCTGGATCGTCTCGGGCGCGCTGGGTCCGTCCCTCAAGCCCCGCACTGCCAGCGCCGCTCCTCCTCCCTCCCACGATTTGCCAGAGAGCACGGCTGCCGCCCTCGCGCCGCGAAGCCGCCTGGGCCAAAACAGCAATTTGTTCCCGAGCGGATGAAGCGGGAAGATCAGCACCCCCACCTCAAAGAGACACACCCACAATCGGCCGCATGGGGGGGTGGGGGAAGCAGTGTCTCCAGCTCCACCCATCTCTCCCTCAGCGAAGCTGGCTGAAGACCCAGACACCTGTATTTAAATTAGCTGGTGTTTGGGGGAGAAAAGGAGGAAACGCTTTCCTTCCTCAATCCTCTGTATCCTGGAATCCATCTCCTAGGACGGGAGTGACTCAAAGGAGTCTGCAAGTCATGCCCCTTCTCCTCCAGCCGCTCATCTATTCCCCTCCAGTCTACATACTACCTTTCTACTAAGGAAAGGGTGCAGCTCAGTTTGAGAGACAGTATAAGCTTGTTAGGTTAAAAGCACCCACCACTTGGGAAATAGGCTTCCTATGTTGAATATAGGAGCTCTGGTAGCGTAATGCCTAAGGCACTTGACCGCTAACCAGAAGGCTGGCAGTTAAAACCTACCAGCCACTCCTCGGAAGGAAGAAGGGGCAATCTACTTCCGTAGTGATGTTGTTGTTGTTGTTGTTATGTGCCGTCAAGTCGGCCCCGACTCATAGCGACCCCCTCCTTGGGTTTCCGAGGCAGTATCACTACGGAAGTAGGATTGCCCAATCTTCCTTCCGAGGAGTGGCTGGTGGGTTTGAACCACCAGCTGTCTGGTTAGCAGGTAAGTGTCTTAGCCACTATACTACCAGAGCTCCCTCCGTAGTGATACTGCCTGGGAAACCCAAGGTGGGGTCGCTATGAGTCGGGTCCAACTCGATGGCACATAACAACAGGTTGAATACAGTTCTGCCACTTAGTGTCTTTTTTTTTTTTTTTTAAAGGCAAGCTATTAAACCTTTCTGTACCGTTTTCTTGTCTGTGAAATGGGAATGGTAGTAATAATGATCTTTAAAAAAAAATAAAAACCTACCAAAACTCATTGCCACAGAGTCCATCCCTACTCATGGCGACTGCATGTGTTGTTACACAGTAGAACTGAACTGCATCGGGTTTTTCTAGGCTGTAATCTTTACAGAAAACAGATCACCAGGCCTCTCTTCAGGGTTAACACTAGATGGCTTAGAATCACCAACCTTTAGGTTAGGAGTGGAGAGCATACCATTTGCACCACACTGGGACCTTATCATTATCTCATTGGGGTGTTACGAGGATTAAACATGTAGACAAGAGTAAAAGCCCTAGAATTGTGCCTGACACTTGTACCATGTAAATGTTTACTATTACCTAGTTTGAACTCTTACAGAGCTCTGTGAAATTGCCAGCATAGGCTTAATGCTATTTCATAAATGAGGAAAGTGGGGTGGAGGTGGGAAGGTGACTTGCTTAAGGTGACAATATTGGTAAATGGCAGAGCCAGGAATCCAACTCTTGACATTCTCCCAACCCCAGGTCCAGAGTTTGCCCTGCTCCAGCGTAGCTGTCTCCTATTATGAGGGCCCAGGAGCCCTAGGCTAGTTGTGTGAGTACTAACAGGTCCTAGGCTCACCCCCGTAAGCCCCAAGTGTCCATATTGAAAAGGCTTCCAGCTTACCTGTCTGGGCTAGTTTGGGGTATTAGGCCAAATAAGAAACCTTGGTCAGGGTAAGCAAGGAGGTAAGATGGCATGTGTGTGGGGTGCCCAAATAATTACAACAGTTTACATTTATTGAGCATTAACTTTGTGCCAGGCACTGTGCTAAGTGCTTTATTTGGATTATCTCAGTGAGCCTTGTAATAACTCTAGCAGGTAGTTACTGTTAAGATTGCCAATTTACAGATAAGAAAACTGAGGCGGAGAGGTTAAGTACCTCACCCAAGAGGCACTGCCTTCTCCAGCAGCTCCAGGCACAATGCTTGTGTCACACTGTTCTGGTGCCCTGTTCCCCACTTCATGGAGAAGACAACACATTAACATTTACTGAATATTATGATCACTCTTCTCATCCCACATGTAACTGTAGTCTGTCCTTTAAGTTCCACTCTCTGTTGCTCTTCAAAGAATCTGTGTGACTGGGTGTCTGGAGTAAGGGTAGTCCCTGACCCTTTCCTTTAGGCTGGCTTGACTGAAGGAGTCCTTTCCATGTAGACAAGTGTGATCAGCGATAGAGTCTGTCTACTGTCCTCCTTGTTCATCTTTACCTAGTCTGTTAGGTCTTCTTGCCAGTCTGGGCTTTTGTTTGCACAGTTCCCTCAACTCTTAGTTATTCATTTCCTGTTCTTAGTTATTAATTTCCATCAGATGGGCTCTGGTGGCATAGTGCCTAAGGCATGTGACTGCTAACCACAAGGCTGGCAGTTCAAACCCACCAGCCACTCCTTGGAAGGAAGATTGGGCAATCTACTTCCGTAGTGATACCACTTTGGAAACTCAAGGAGGGGTTGCTATGAGTTAGATCCAACTCAACGGCAGTATGTTTTGTTTTGTTTTTTGGTTCTGCCTTCCCCTTCTACCTGCTCCCTGCCCCCCCACACCACCACCAACACATAAATACACAAGGGGCCAGGGCAACGTTTAGGAGACAATAGGATAGGGACTGGGGAGAAGGAATTAAAAATTGAACAGGGCACTGACAGGGTAGGATCACTGGGTTCCTCACTGTAACTTTTATCGCACCCCTTCCCCCAATTCCTGACTCATTTGGTCCACCCCACCATTGGGAGTCAGCGGGGAGAGGAAGGATGAGGGGGAACACTGTTCAGAGACAGCTCAAAGCCTTTGTCAACAAGAAGAAACTCAGGAGGCTGCATTTTGGAGCTTCTGTGGGAGGCCTGTGGGAGTATTATCTACAAAAAGGAACAAGGAGGGAGAGGAGAGAAGAGCAAAGCAGGGGAAAAAACCCTCAAGGCACAAAAGATGGAAAAAGCCCCTGCCTTCCCCAAGCACAGTGCAGGCGGAGTCAGACGCTGTGTGCAGGGTGAGAACAGGTGGCTGTCGAGGAACAGAGCCCAGGGGCCTCTCCCCTCTCCTTCCCACTCTCTCCACCCTCCTTCCTACAGGTCCTCAGGTCTGCTCTGCCTGTTCAGATTATGGCTCTAAACCAGTGGTCAGGTTCTGCTTCCAAGGTTTTATATTTGTCCTGCCAGGACAGACAGGACCAGGTTCAAATTCTAGCTCTGCCGCTGAGTGACCTTGGGTGGGAGTTAATTAATCTCTCAGAGCATCAGTTCCATTTGTAAAATGAACTTTCTCAAAGGATTGTCAAGAGAATTAAATGAGATGAGGATCCAATCAATAGGAGCTTGGTAAGTGGCGGCAATCATTACTAACAGTCCCCCGAGCGTTTAGTTTGGCCCTGGGTGGTGAAACCACTGGAAACGAGGTCAGGATGAAGCCTTGCGGAAGGTTCCCCATTCCCACCAAAACAAACATTTTGGAATACTTCAAGATCTCCAGTACCTGGCTGTTCCCTTTCTTTTAATGGAGGATCCTAGCTAGAGTGTGAGTAGTCTACAATAAACTTTGAAGCAAGGGAGTCCTAAGAGGTACATATAAAGACAGGTAAATATAGGTGTTCTGGTTACCTAGTGCTGCTCTGACCAGAATATACCACAAATGGGATGCCTGAACAAACAGGAATTTATTTTCTTACAGTTTGGAGGCTTTAAGTCCGAGTTCAAAGTGCCAGGCTCTAGGGCCTGGGTGAAAGCCTTCAGCTCTGCCTCCTGCTCCTGGCCCACTGGAGCTAGCG